CTCTCTCTCTCTCTCTCTCTCACACACACACACACACACACACACACACACACACACACACACACACACAGTCGATCACTGCTTCGAACGCCTTCTCAACCACGTGACACTTGACAACGTCTGCAACGTGGATATGTGGCGTGCCACGTGGCCATGTCATCTTCCAATCCGACCACGTGGCAATTACAGCCTGCCGCTCGATGTCTTTCGTGGAGGTTCTATTAGCAGTCTCTCCTTTTTTCCCTTCTTTTTTTTCTTACCACCTTAGTTTCCCCTCCCACCTCCCCCACCCCCTCTTTCCCAGCTCTGAGGAGAAAACAAGTGGGGAAAAAATGCCTGTGCATCTGCCCCCTCCTCTCCCTTGACACTCCCCCCGCCTCTCTCCCTCCCGAAGTCGTCATCTCATGGCACCCTCCGACGGAACGTGAACTCATTCGATCTTTCTGACTCTCTTAGCCGCAACTCATGTCCTCCTCACCTCTCCTCTCCTCCTTCACCTTACCCCCTCTCCTCTCTCTCACCTCCCAAGCAGCCCACCTTTGACGATTACCCCCATTTGTGGACCCACGTAACATTACCTCAATCCAAGCGCAGCCACCAACCTCCCTCTATCCCTACCTCCCCGTTTTATCCACTTGTTATTGCACTGCTCGCTTGCCTATATATTTCCCCGCTCACCGCCATGTCCCCTCTTGAACCCCTCTTAAACCACCCCCGAAACCTCCTTTACCTACCAGTTCTCCCTGCCACAAGGGGTCGAAGCACAGTGGGCTTGTGTGCAACTGCCACATGTCGCCCATCTCACACCCGTTGGTAAATTTGTCTCGCTATATCAATCAATCAATCAATCAATCTAATCAATCAATCAATCAATCAATCCCATCCAATCAATCCCATCCAATCAAATCCAATCCAATCAAGCAATCGTCCAATCAAATTCAATGCAATCCAATCGATAAATCTCCCCCCGTAGATATCTTTCACGATCAGTCTTTCAGGCACCACGAGAGAGAGAGAGAGAGAGAGAGAGAGAGAGAGAGAGAGAGAGAGAGAGAGAGAGAGAGAGAGAGAGAGAGAGAGAGAGAGAGAGAGA